CGATTCATGCAGCAGATAACAGAAGAAAGAAAGTTACAAAGTCCAAAAGATATCAATGACGTAAAAGATCGAAAATATTATGCGGAAAATATAAATTCATCTAAAGAAAGCTCCCTAAATTTAGTATCACTAAAAATATAAACTGTCGTAGTAAAATCATAATGAGATGGGAATAAGCAAATGTTGTTTTGAGAAAAATAAACAAGGTAATTTGATTTGCATATAAATTTATTAATACATTTTAAAATGATTGCAAAATCATGCAACTTATTATTATAAAACGTAATAATATCTTCTTAAATTTTTTAGTCCGTCTTCTTTAAACTTTTATTCCATCAAAATAAATTGTTGATAAAAGTTTGCATTTACTGTTATAAACGACTAACAATAAGTTAGCTATTATGTTAATTAATTGTGTAAATTTATGTAAAAAATTTGTCATATCTATAAAATAAAATTGAAAACCGAAGTTCAAACAAAATTCGCCGTCACAGTCCTCTGTACATTCTCTTTTTCCATCCAGAGACAAATTTTTCGATTCTATTTTCAAAAAAAACAATTCAATTTTTTAACTTTAATAGAAAATACGATGGAAATATGGCAAAACTTTTGTCAAGTTAATGCAAAATAAAGTTTATTGCGATGCTTAAAGTTAAAAAGCCCAAAATTCACGATCTAATTTTTTTTGCACAAAACTGACAATTACATAAACAAACAACAACGATAACATTCACATGCCGTTCGTTTAATGACTTAGACTACTTAGAGCCATTCAAAGTTTGATTTCGATTAAGTCGGTGACACTGAATTGCAGAAATTGTGCCAGTAGTGATGTCGATCGTCGATTTTGCTTCCATCGTATCGTGTGTTGTGCTGACAAACTGTAATTTTCATTGCTGCAGTAGTAGGTGGTTTATCTTTTTACGATACCAATTTCAAACATACCGAGCTTTGCATTGGTCGGCGCTCAGCAGATCCTTGACTGCTGCAGTTCTTCGCAAGATTCTCTGTGACCGTGTCTGACACACATTCGGTTGTTCGCTGACAAACAGATTTTTATGTAGTACATCGACCGTACAGTGGTCGTCCTTGCCCGATATTGAGAAGTATTGAATATTTTAGATTTTTTTTACATTATATAATTTTCAATACATTAAATAACTATTTTGAAATCTGTTTTCTATTATTAAATTTTATTTAAAAAATATATTATAATTACTTAAATATTTCTTTAAATAAATGCTAGACTTTTAACCGATCTTTTAACCGATTTTTATATTACAAGATAATTGAAAAAAAGAAATTTTCTAAAAATTTGTGTGTTTAAGGAAATTTTGCAAAATGCTACAATCAGATTAATTTACAATTTCAATAATTATAGTAATTTACATTTTTCAATTTTAATTTACAACTTCAATAATGATAAAATAAAATTTTTAAAGCGCCAACATAAAGATTTTCAATTATTAAAATTATAATTCAATTATTCTCGGAAAAAATAGCATAATAATAAACAATGTAAGATTTATCATCAGTGATACGATATAATTACTTAAGTATTCGAGTACACGTATGCCGGTAACAGTTTCTTTGTTCGCCGTAACGTTATATGTTGAAATCGCTTCTTGTCTAATTTGCACTAACTTCCTGATCATTCGCCCGATGCAGGATTGCATCAAATGCTTAATTGCGTATGATAGAAATGAGAAATAAGTAAAGTACGCAATATTGTGCAATAACGCAACTAAAATCAAAGCAAGTGACGCGTATTTTAGTCCATCTTTGACGCAATATTTAGAAAGTTAATATACACACACACACACACAATATGTTAACCGAAAAGTTTAAGAAATATTCAACACATACTTAACAGACAATCAATACACTCAGAAATTACTGACATTTATATACAAATTTTACTTTTTTTTATTTGCTGCATTCTTTTATCTAGAAAACATGAACTTACTGTGTTACAATAAATCTACCTATTTAAGTCGTACGAACGTAAAAAGTTAAGAAGCGGTAAACAAGTTTTTCTATTTTCATGTATATAATTGATATCTCTTAAACGATTGGTGCAACGATCAAACAAATGAATTCAAGGTATGACGTGCGACAATATTTCTTAGCATTTAATGCAGGCAAAACCTAAACTTAAACAAAACAAGAATCCACAAGATATGCAAGAAGTATATAAAAGATTCTTCAAATTTTTAGAAAATTTCTTTTTTAATCATCTATATATAATATAAATCGATTAAAGATCTGGCATTTATTTTAAAAATATTCAAGTATCAAAGAAGTTAGAACGTTTCTTAGTAGTCTTTATAAAATTTTTCAGATTTTTATAATATCACAAACTTACGAAATTTTTAACATTAAAAACTATTATTTATAAAAAATTCTTTTTATAAGTGTAATTTGTAAAAATACACTTTATTTGTCTATGTTGCATCATAAACTACCCGAAAAACAATAATTTTAATATTAAATTTCAATTACAATTTACGCGGGAAATTATAAGCTCGATGCGTCTTATGAGTCACGTAAAAGTGAAATTGATTAACTTCCAACGAAGCGGGCCGACCTATATTTCTAAACAAATATATTCGCAATTCATGTCGACTGATTCGCCATTACGTCAACTACACTTTGCTGAAATTGTATAATTCGTCCTTGTACAGTATTGATGAGCAAAAGTAAACGTGCCTCAGTTACACATCATTCCGAATTTTGACGAATCAAATTTAACAGGAGCAGATGAACAAGTGAACGGACTCTTAAGCCAAAGTCCAAGGACTAATAGTTAATCCTGTGTTCTTATACACATACAATGATGGAAGATAAAAAAGATCCCTCTTGAAAATTTTGAAATTGCACTTATGCAATAAACGTCCATTTTTCGATACTTTGCACCTCTTGACTTTAAGAGGGTTAAAGTGATGGCGACCGTCAAAAGAATTAAATCTGGCATTCAAATGCCAATTGCTTCATCCTACCAAATAGGATTTATAACTCTTATGTATCTTAGAGATTATAATGGAAGAGGAAAAGAGATGCATTTTCAAGGTATATCAAAATTATTAAACATTTATTTCGATATGTAATTTAATTCTAGTTCGCTTAATAAAGGCAAGTAGAAGCAATTATGCAGAACGCAATGTGTACGCTGCACATTGCCATTGTTTTTAATTCAATAGTAAACCTTTTTCAGTTTCTTTTTCCATGCAAATCTCTCTCAAAATATTTTTGATTGCATCCTTATTTAGGAAATAATTTCACGCGTAAATTATAATTAAAATTTAATATTGTAATGTACATTATGTAGATTACAAAAATTTGCTTATTAGTGCAAAATCATTCTTTTAATGATAAACAAGATTATTCCACGTGTTATAAAGCTTACAAAGATTTGCTTATTAACGCAAAAAAATTATTCCTCTTAATAAATTAGACAAAAAAAGTAAGATATAAGAATACATGAATAACTTAACCGTACATAAATAAAACGTAGTAGAAATGTGATTCTTGTGAGATATGTAAAACGTTCAATGTTAAGGAAAAAGGCTCATCAACGGTCTTTATTATGTAACAAATAGTTTCCTCCACTAAGTTCACATACTATACGGATCTGAGTTCAGACTCATAAAAAGCTGGAATAAATGAGAATGTTATTATGCACTGATATGCACCAATTTTCCTAAAATGTATATATCTTTGAATTTTCCATCTTTTTGCCATTACGCGTCAATAATTAATTACATTATTAAGACGTAACTTTATACTAATTTTTTCATTTTCTCATCCTATTTGTTACATTCCTGTTTTTTTAATAATTGAATTTCTTAGTAATAAGATGTAATAATTATTTATTACCATAAAATCATTTACAAAATAGTACGTTCAAAGTATTCAAGCAAAGAGAAAGCAAAAAGAAGACGAATAGCACTGCTTTTTATGTTTCCTTTTGAAATTAATGTCTGTTTATAGAGGAAATATAAGTTTAATGTCATTATTTAAATATTTACGAATATTTTTACCGATATCTTTAATAATCTGTTTATTGCAATATTTTTTAATCAAATTAAAATTCTATTAAAATTAATTTTATTTCAAATTGTCGCGTATTTATTTTTGTTTCTGAAATTTTATTATTAAAAAGATTCAATTTATCTTTAATGATTCGCCGAGGAATATTGGAGTTTTGATATTCTGATTAATATAAAAGACAAATTTAACTAACAAAATAACGTTACATATTTATTTTCTTTTTATTAATATTAGTATGCTTTTTATTACACTGTCGATAAATATTATAAGAATAACGAATAATAATTTTGTGAAATCGCGAACGTTTAAACAATATTTTTTCGTGGCAGATAATTAAAATAAGCTGCAAACTAATTTTCACGTAATGCCAAGTTTAAAAGCTTTAAAAAGAAAACATGAAATTTGTTAGACACACTCCGTGCATTTTCGCGCGCGAAAAATAATGAAGAACAAATCACACACATGATCTGTACTTCCTTTGATTTCGTTGAAAAACTAAAAGTGATTATCCAAAGTAAAAGTAGTGTGAGGGAAGATACGCGAGGGAAGATACGAGATCGTTCGAACGAGACAAATCGTGCCAAAAATGTAAGAGAAGATTGCGATATCGGTGGTACCTGTACCCCTCATCGGAGATCGGCCTCGACATCCTCGATCTTCACCGGCGGTGTGCAAGCGGAGTTTCATATACCGGCACGTGACCTTGGCCGAAGGATCTCATGCCCGTGGTCCGCCGGAGAGAAGACACCTTTCCACTTCCCCTCGGAACGGCCATCTGAGTGAAGCTCGACCTTGACTGAGCGCGGCGCGGGGTTCGCAGACGATCACCTAAGGCCCCGACCGACGCACGGTGCGGTGCAGCCCCTCTCTTAAGCGCGCGCGCGCGCTTGGGCCCCACTTGGGTTAGCCAATACTTAAACCGCGGGCCTACCGCGCCGCGGACTATTCCCGCAGCATCGGCCGTTGGACCCGTAAGCACCACGTACGGCACGTACCGCCCTTACCATCGCACGCGCGTACACACGCGTCGTACACACACACACATACACACACACATATACATCACACACACACACACACACGTACACGCGCGCGATATAAAAATACCTATTGCCCGCGGGGACTGATTGTGTATTGGTAACCTGGTGTACGACTCACGCGAACGCGTATGCGACACATCGCGGGGGACATATGTAGCACCCACACGCCGCAGCGTGTGCGTCTCGCTGATTTTGACCCCGCGAGAGAGAAGGACACCGCGTGCACAGTGAGAACGAGAGCCACCCTACGAAGTCTTCGCGACCCCTCGGCCTCCCGGAAGAAGGGGTCTTCCCTCGCGGAATCGGCAAGTGTCCCTGCCGATCGACCAGCACGGCGTCCAGCATATATATACCGCGCGGACGCTGGAAACTGGCATAGGGAAGTAACAAGTGCGAAGAGTCTCAAGTGGGACGGAATCTCGGATGGTCCGTTTTGGATGGGTAGCTCGGTTTGATGCAGCGCCGCTGAATCACGCAGGGGACCGGTTTCGGTGACGACGTTTAGCTAGGGGGCTAGCAGAAGTGGTGAAGTGCACAGTGCCGGCCAGTTTCCGATCTCGGTGGAGCGTGAGTGTGAAGGTAAGCGTTTATTCCGAAAATCCCTTTGGGGTGGAGAGCGGAACGTACGACCGAGCGCGCGTACCGGTCGCTGCGGGAGAGCGACCCAAAACGAATTTCCGCGGCGAGAAATCGGGCCGACTCCTTAAACGGATCGGCGCGCGTGAATCGCAAAAAGCTGAGCTGTGAAAAATTCGCGTGTGTGCGCGAATTATCCTCGTTACGAGATCCCGTATCAACCCCGCGAGAAAGATTACATTTGTGAGGCAAAAGATGGGAACAGCTCAACGCTGGGAGTAATCGATGCGAGACTACTCTCCGTATTGTGAGAGGGGAATAGATGAATTTTTTTTATCAAGAAAGAAATGCACTTTCCTTTGTTTCGTGCCTTCTCCTCGAGTGACGAAAATATTTTAACGCTATCCATGTAGTGCGACCTGACTTTCTGACTACCCACAGACCAAATACTTGCAGTAGTAAAGCACTACGCTAGTGCCCTACAAAGGGTTAGGTACGAGGATCAAGGCCAAAATGAACTTTTAGGCGTAGAGACTACAATGTTACAAGAAAATTCTAAAGTGTTTTTTGTATTGCAATACCTATAATGAAATACAGGAATCACGATTTAATTTGTATCATACATATTAATTAAGCTTATTAATAAGCAACAAAACATACTCGGATATGAATAATATTTTGTTACTTTATCGGTAGTATATACATATGTACATATGTATTCTTAAATTTAAATTTCATTAATAATTTTCTAATTTTGATATTTTTTAATATCTTAGAAAGAAATTTTTACTATCAAAACATTTCTTTCTTTTTTCAAAATTTGTGAAATTTCAAAATATTAAAATTAAAAATTAGAAATTAACGATACAAATTCAAGCCGACCAATGACATATTTAAATATCAATCTCGATTTTTATAATAAATTTTCGACAAAAGAGAAAATAGCTATATTTTAATGGCAAAGATTTCTTACTAAAAAAATGTTAAAAAAAACATTAAGAGAAAGTATAAAATATTTTAAGATTATGAATAAAACTTAAATTTAAAATTGTTGTAAAAAATTTTAAAAATAGATATTTATATTAATATATATGTATATGTGCCCGCATATACACGTACATTATACATTCATGTGTATAACATGAATTATTGCTAGTACTTAGGTATGTTATTTTATGTCAAAACAATTTATTTAATATAAAATTAAAATTATTATTTTAGTATATTAAATTTCTATTAATAAAAAATTTTCGCGAAAATATTATACGATAATATTACAATATATTACGGTAATACTTATCATTTAAATTGTGGTCGCAATTATCAACAAAATGGAATAAACGAATTTTTGTTCAATGACGACATCACATTTTAATTGCGTCATACAAACATATTTTATACTTTAATTAAATTCGCGAAGAAATTATATTAGTCACTGTTTTGATATTAATCTTTGAATTGCCATAACATTTGAATGTATTGCTCTACCGAAAGTAAATCTTTGATTGCACCTTGCGAAATTTTTGTGGTAAGTTTGTAATATTTCTCGCGTACAGTGTGACATTTCGCAACATGAAAGGTGTATGATCGTAATTTTTAGTATTCTTTTAATGGTTTTCAAAAGAAATCCGTGTAGTATTATACAAAATAAAACATTTATTTGTTAAGCTTTCTGAACAAATAAATTGTAATCTGACCAAATAAATGTAATTAATGCTTTTCATAAATTGAATTGCTAAACTTTTTTACGATTTCTTAAATTAACTTTACACGTATTACGAGTAATATTGAAGAGATCTGAAAATACTAAAAATATATAACTATTTTTTTTAAGGATTTATTTGAAAAAATAGAAAAACATTAAAAATTATTAATGTGTGTCAAGCAATATGCTAGTCTACATAATGTTCAAATGCGTAAATACGAATTTTTGAAAGTTTATAAGTAGTGGCGATTCACCTGACGTGTGCATTTCACAATCGAGACGTTGTGCCGCAAGGCACATCCGTACAATCGTTGTAGGCGCACATGCTATAGAAACACGTGTAAGCTGTCTTAATTCAGACCGTCTAACCCTGCCTCTACGCATGACGTTTCGGCGGACGAGATAGGAAAGAGACTCTCCCCGGCGAAAATAAAAATCGAAACGTAAGTCGGACGTAAGGGGAGAGCGACGGAGGCGTAAACGAAGGCTTTTAGGAGGTGCAAATTGAGACGACGAAAACGCTTCTTTTACGTTTAGTTACTTCAATTTTCGCCTCTTCGAAACTTCGTTCACGCTTCCGTCAACGCTCCCCTTACGTTCAACTTATACGCACCAATTTTCATTCTCGTCCGAACTTTCTTGTAGAAACTTATAGAAAACCTCGAACGCCTCAGCAGAAATTATCTCGGCTATACGTGCGCGTATTCGCGCATGGTCAGCTCTTTTCGCTTTGCATGATCAGCTACCTACCTTAATATAACCCCCACACGTATGTGCCCGAGCACGTGAAATGCGTCACATTACACAACCGCACGAAACACGCTGTAATATTCGGCACAAGGTCGCCGGACCGTTTTCGAGCCAGTTTCTTAATAGCGTGACGTGATTTCGTGTATCCGAAGGAAACGGAGTCCGGAGCCCTTTCGAAGCGACGTCGGCGGGCGCGCGCGAGCACGCGTAGGTACGCGAATAGTTCGGGTGCCTGCAGTTTCTCTAGGCGGAACTGCAGTGCAATTCCGAGTTTGATCAAGCTAGAGACTCGATAACACGGCAAAAGATATAGGAATAATATCGATGCCGTTTTCGCGATCCAAGTGCGAAGCGTGAAATAATATCGGAAATAATAAGTAAAGTAACACCGATACGAATCCAATTATTCGATTAATAGACGTGTAATTATCGTCTCTGCTGAATGCAAATGAATAATGATAGCATGCCAGACGGGAATCATTCATTAATATGTTCACGCAACGGTTATAACAATTACACATCATGAAACGGACGAAGAAGAGTGGAACGGCGAAAGTTTAAAGAGCTTACAGCTAAATTGACATATATATATATATATATATATATATATATATACTTGATTTGATAATTAATTAGGCGGATTTAATACAATTATGGTGGATTTAAAGCGATCCGAGAGAGACTGTCATTTTCCAACGTGCGACAATGCGACCGTGCAAACGAACATCCATACGTTACTCCGCGCTAACGGATATTGGCAAATATCCGACGCTCCTTGCCGGCATTTCGGAACTTGTGCGCTTCACGGTGATAACGCGGTTTCCGTTTAAAATTAGGAACAGTCGACCTCAAGTAAGTCGAATAATGTAATTGCCCGTTATACTAGCCGAAGGTAGTGAATGTCAATTTGTTCCGCAAGAATCAGAACCTGCTGTTTTTTCTCCTTGTTTTTTTTTTAGAGTTTCATTAGAACGTGACCTGTGATTATTACTTGGGATTATTGTTAGCATGTTCCATACCTCGTTATGACAAATTATATTATTCGTCTCCTTATAATTAAATTTTTTTAACTTAATAAATTAAATTTTTCGTGTAAAATATTCAAATAGCGTTCCTTTATTCATTAATATTTAAACAAAAAATCGTGCATAAAAAAACAGTTGTTTTTATTCTTGAAGTAATTCAATTTAAAGAATATTTTATGTCGATATGATTATAATTACGATGAGTATTCAACTGTGATTTCCATATCGAGGATAATAGACTGCTAATACAGTAAAGACAGTAAGACGATATTACGAATAAAAGTTACAACTTATCAATAATTTGCAAGAAATTAATCAAGACTTTGTGCGTGGATATCATTGATAAAAAGAAATTTATCTGTTTACTGTCGACATGAACAATTTCGCCGGAAATGCAGTTTTCATTTATGTATAAAATCTTTAAGAGTTCGACATTAATATGAAAAGAAATGAATAAAGAAAAAATGCTCCAGTATTTAGACGCGTGCTCTCTTTGAGCTCGTTAGTCTTAATGGAATTCGTGACTGCCTTGTTAAACTTTAGATGAAGAGACGATAAAGTAATCATATCTAATTAAGTTCTTCAACATCGTTAGCTTCCACCGAGAAATGAATAATTATCGTCACGCAGAAAGTGAAGAAAGAAGTACATTTCGCGTTTACACGAGAGATTAGCGAATGATTTCATGTGTGTGACACAATACTGTCTGTGCAAAGCTTCAAAGATATTTTACTCTAGTCAAGGCTAAGATCTCTCCGACTTACCAGTGTGTCGAAAGAGCAGTAACGCATCGTTGCTTTTATCCAAATCGAGGACATTAAAACACTTGGGAATTGCAAATAATTACTTTCAAGTTGTTAACGAGACTTTCGTCAAGCGCTATCCTTCGAATATTATCTAAGATTTATCCTCTCTGCGTATAGGTATCGCAGTCGCCGATGCTCGATCTACGCGATACTGATACACAACGTATAATTTAATCTGAGTAAAACCTGAGATTTCGATCGAATATGGTTTGTCGGATATTAAAAACTATTCCGACCCCGAGGTCATAGCTGTATAAATTATTTTCCTGTTTCGAAGATGTAACTTTAACGAAGAAGACTTCTGTTTCTTCTTTTTCAGTCGCTTCTTACGGAACACTTTTTGAACCTTTCAATGCAGCGTTATCTTTTATTGTTCCACATTTCTTTAAATCATCAAATTTGTTTGCCAACCGACTCCGCAAAAACACATCCTCCTTGTAAATGAGCGGCGCAAGGTTGGCCGTGAGGTCTATGGGAAATCTTTAATGTGAAAAGAGAGAATATTAGTCGAAAAACGTGCTTTCACACCGGACGCAAGAAGCCCCGGTTGCAATTTTTACGTTTCGCTAATCGGCGCGTCGATTAGCGCGTAAAAGCGACGAATTGGAAAACCGCCGGTGCGCGCCTTACAATTAAGTTCCCAAAAGTGCTATCGGCAATGAGCGAGAAAGCGGAGCTACGACAGCGACATAGCGGACAAATAGTTTTACAACGCGG